ACTAGTAAGAGGATGGGGCCCTAACCGCTGGGCGGAGCCCGCACGCTGGGGCCGCAGAACTGGGTCCCTGTGCTGGGTCTGCTTCTCTGGAGTGGGGTGGGCGGGTGCGGTGCCCCGTCCAGAGCCTGGTTGCGTGTCCATCCATGTGTCCTGGCGAGTGGAACTTGGACAGAGGCACCTCCAGGCCAGTCCTGCCTTGTTGCGGACGGGCTGCTCAGTCTCTGGGCCTGGACTTCTCGACTGTTCGGAGGCAGAGTGGGCCCAGATGGCGCGTCCCCGCAGCCTGGCGCTGTCTGTCGGCAGAGTTCTGGGCACTCGCGGGTTCCCTCCAAGGTCCAGCCCCACCAGGGCCCCGGCCGAGGCTCTGCCTGTCCTCCTGGGGTCCCCACTCCCGGGAGATGCCAGGGCCCATGGCTGCGTGGCCTCGCGGGGAGCAGGCACTCAGCACCGCTGATGCGAGCCTCCGCTTGCTGGCCCTTCAGCCCCAGCCTGGCGCCCTCGGGCCCCGAGGGGCGCCTCCTCGCCTCAGGATCCCTGGAAAGGACCTGGCGAGGTGCTGCTGAGCCAGAGCAGGCAGTGGGGCCCCTCCCGGCTCCAGAGGAAGCCCGCTCAGCGCACCTGGGGCGCTGCGCTCTGGCCTCTGTGCTTGCTGTCGGGCGGGCGACACGGTGGCTCCCTCCCGCACGGCCGCTTAGGCCTGGACTGCCATCCGGCCTCGCCCCCTGGCTGCGGCCCACGCGTGGTAAAGGTTTCCCACAGTGGAAGGTCTGTCATTCCCTGGGAGGTCTGCACTGGCTGCATTCATTTGCTGTTATTATCATCTCTGGAGAAGGACATGGCTGCCCACTCCAGGATTCCTGCCTGGAGGATCCCATGGACAAAGGGCCAGACAGGCTACAGTCCATGGGGGTCCCAGAGAGTCGGACATGACTGAGTGACCAACACATACACATTATCATCTAAACGTTGAGACAAGCTTCAGACACTGTGAGCTTCGCTCTCCTGGGCCTACCGCTCAGCGTTTTCCCGTGTTCTCCAGGTTGAGCAGCCAGCACGCTGCCCGCCCTCGGGTGTCACTCCCCGGGAGATGCTCCATCGGCGGTTGCTCCCCCCACCCTCCCCGGACCCTGGCCTCCATGGGTCCGCCCCGTGTCTGGGGATTGGCCTGTTCTGGATGCTTCCTGCGCGTGCCATCAGACACCTGACCTGACTCCTCTTTCTTATCCTGTGGTCAGGGCTCATCCGCGTTGTACGTGTATCAGAACCCACCCTGTTCCCGACTGAGCATCACCTCGTAGAAGTATAGACTGCACTCCATCCGTCCAGCAGCTGATGGACGTTTGGTGTTTATGAATCGTGTGGCTGTGAACATTTGTGTTTAGGTTTTTGTGTGAACATGTTTTATATTCCCTTGGGTATGTATCTAGGCGTGGAATTGCTGAGTCATAGGATAGCTGTGTATAACTTCTTGAGGAACTGCCAGACTGTTTTCCGAAGCGTCTGCACCATTTTGAATTCCCACCAGCAACGCACAAGGGTTCCGGTTTTTCCGCATGGGGAGACAACACTTGTTATTATTCGTCCGTTTGAGTCTAGCGGCCCTGCTGGGTGTGCGCGCGTTGATCTGCGTTTCCGTGACAACCGATGACCCCGAGTGTCCCCCTCCCCCTGCCCTGTGCTTCTTGGGTATTTGTTTATTTGTTTGCCTACTTTGGAAAAGCGTTTATTTAAATTTTTTGCTGTTTAAAAAAATTTTTTGTAATTGTTGAAGTTTTCTTTGTACATTCTGGGTGTGGATTCTGGTCACAGACAAGATTTGCAAATGTTTTCTCTCATTCTTCGTGCTTTCTTCTCACACCCTTGACAGTGTCTTTTTGAAGCACTAGCTTCCTAAACACTGATGAAGTCCAGTTTGTTTGTTTTTCTTTGCTTGTGCTTCAGATGTCACATCTAAGAAGCCGTGGCCAACCCTTCTCCACTGCGGGGGGGAGCGTGAACTGGTCCAGCCCCTGTGGGGAACAGCAGGGAGGTTCCTTATAAATTAGAAATGGAGCCCCCTAGGATCCTGAGGCCCAGTCCTGGACGTGTACCTGGAAAAGAGAAGAGCTGATGTGGGCAGAGGGCTGTGCCCTGATGCCGTGCATAACGGCAGTGCTCACAGTGGCCCAGACATGGAGGCAGCCCGCGCGTGCAGACAGATGGACAGACACGGAGGACGTGGCACATACATGCCTGGGATGCTGCTCGGCTGCAAAAATGAATGAACTAATCCCATTTGTAGCAGCATGGCTGGACCTAGAGATGAACATGCTGAGTGAAATAAGTCAGAGGAAAACAAACACATACATCACTTACATGTGGACTCTACAGGATGGTGCAAATGGACCTATCTATGCAACAGAAATAGACTCACGGACACAGAAAGCAAAGCTACGGGTCACAAAGGGGCGGCGGGCGGGTAACTGGGGAGTTCGGGATTAACAGGCGCACAGTACCGAATGCAAGGCTTCCCAGAGGCTCAGTGGTGAGGAGCCCGCCCGCAATGCAGGAGATGCAGGAGATGGGGGTTCGATCCCTGGGTCAGGAAGATCCCCTGGAGGAGGGCATGGCAACCCACTCAAGATTCTTGCCTGGAGGATCCCATGGACAGGGGAGCCTGGCAGGCTACAGTCTGGGGTTGCAAAGAGTCGGATGTGGCTAGGCACACGGAGCATGCAGTCCTAGATGCATCCTGACTCAGGTTTCAAGCCTGGCGTGAGCTGGGGCGGCGCCCTCGTCCTGGGCACGTGCGTGTCCAGCTGCCCCAGCTCTGTCTGTTGGAAAGACGGTGCTCCTCATTGAACCACCTCGTTGGCTCAATGTAATTACCCGCCTTAACTGACCGTAGATGTATCGACTTTCTCCTGGCCTCATTTCTGTTTTCTTCATCTCTTGTCTGTCCGTGTGCCAGGACCAAAGGGTCTTGGTAACTGCAGTTCGTAGCGAGTGTTGAAATAGGGGGCATATGTCCTCCAGCTTCTTCTTTTTCAAGCTTCTATGTCTACCCTGGGTCTCTGCATTTCCACGTGAATTCTGGGCTTCGCTCGTCCCCCAGCTGGCATTCTGATGGTGTCTGGTGGCTCTGACTTCGGGTCCTCTTCGTGCATGAAGAGCTTTGGGCAGTGTTCCCCTGTGCTCAGCCCCAGGCAGGCGGCCCTCACTGCAGTTTGCTGGCTGAGCTTGCTGCTTGAATGAACGCAGAGCAGGGCCCCCTGCACGCTCTGGTGTCCTGGGCCCCACGCTGGCGTCCTGGGCCCCACGCTGGCGCCCTGGGCCCCACGCTCTGGCACCCTGGGCCCCACGCTGGTGCCCTGGGCCCCACGCTCTGGCGTCCTGGGCCCCACGCGCTGGCGTCCTGGGCCCCACGCTGGTGTCCTGGGCCCCATGCTGACGCCCTGGGCCCATCCTGGGCCCCACGCTCTGGCGCCCTGGGCCCCACGCTCTGGCGTCCTGGGCCCCGCGCTGGTGTCCTGGGCCCTGCGCTGGTGTCCTGGGCCCCGCGCTGGCGCCCTGGGCCCCTAAGGGTTGTCACGGGTGTCACGGGCTCCCTTCTTGGTGGGGTCCCCCTGACACAGGCAGGCACAGTGTGTCTAGGGTCGTCTGAGTCGACCCCAGGGGACTCTGTCCAGCCTCCTGGTGGCCCGAGGAGATCTCCACCCCGGAGGAGCCCACGCGGCTGGCTCTGGGGGCTGCCCCTGCGGCCAGCCCTGGTCCCCCATGAGTGTGGATGCTCTCCGCCTCTGGCAGCTTCCTGTCACCCGTGAGGACCAGAGGTGGCCTCGAGCACCGCCGTCGTTGCCCCGCGTCCCAGGAGGGAAGCGGCTTCTCACAGCCAGGCGGGTCTGGCGGGCCTGGCATCATCGGTGTGAGCAGGGGGCTGGCAGGAGTCCTTGGGAAACAGCTTCCTGTGGGACCCACCGACCTGTGCGCCCCGCCCCGCTCCCCCTGCAGCTGCTCAGCCACCTCACGGTTGCCAGCAGCCCTGAAGGTCAAGGGCCCGGCTCCCAGCACAGAGTCGCTCTGGGGGGACCCGAGCGAGTCTCAGCTCTGGTGCTGGCTGGAGCGCTGGGCTGACTCTCGCTGACCACACTCCGGATCCTGCCTGGGCGGGAAGAGGCCCGCCTCGGCCTGAGTGCTCGGCCTGGCGTCCACACCCAGCTCTCGGGGTCCTTAGGGGTCCACGGAGTCTCTTCCATCCCCGCAGAGACCGAGCTCTGTCCTGGGCTCTGTCGGAGGCGAGCGCCGGGCCCTCCTGGGGGCCGAGGCCACTCTAGAGGTGGCGTGGCTGCACTGACCCGGGTCTGAGCCCTGCCGTCGGTGGCAGGGGACCACAGCCGGGTTACCCGCCACCAGCCCCGGGCTCCGGCGCCGGAGGCAGAGCTGGTCTTGCTCGTCTGAGCGGAAAGGGAAGTTTAACAAACAGGCGGCTCCTCTGGGCTCCATGGGGGCCCTGCCTGGCTGGGGCGCCATCACCCTGAGGCTGCATGACACCCGCTGGGCACGCCGGCCGGTAGGTCTTCACATGGCCCATGTGAAATTCTGGTCACTATGAACAGCAATACTTTGGCCTAAAATATTCTTTTCTAGCAGCTTGTCATTAGCAGCCTAAAAACAGCCGTTTTAGTCTAAAACAGAAAAGGAAGAGCTATTAATAGAGTGAAGGGCAGGAAAGCCTGGCGCGCTGCAGCCCGTGGGGTCGCGGAGTTGGACGCGGCTCAGTGACGGGACAAGAGCGTCAGCAGAGGGAAGGCTGTTTGTGGCTCCTTGCTCGCGGCCGCGCCTGAGCCGGCGGCCCTGGGTGGGTGCAGGGCTGGGTGCTCGGGGCCGGGGCCCTCGGGGCCTTCAGGGCCCAAGCGTGGGGCTGCCTGCCTGTCTCCTCTGCCACCCGAGCCGCGTGAAAGCAGTCTGCGACGGGACGCGGCACGTCTGTGTCTGCTTTCCTGGAGGTTTTAAACAATGGCCCTTGCTGGATGTCTATGGCTCCGAGATGGAGACCACGTGAGTGTGTGTGTAGATTTAACACGTCTGTATGTAGACAGGCACTGTAACGCAGACTACCTTCCGCTTACTGCTCCTTCACAAACACTGGTTTTAGAAACACACGAGCAGTGAGTGCTGTGGTCTCTGTTGACTTTAGGGAGGGCGTTGGCCACACAGGGCCCCCCTTCCTGCGTCTGAGCCACACGGAGGAGCCGCTGGCCAGGGTCTCGCAGACCCCGTCCTGGGTTCAGACGCGGCCGGGGACTGTCACTGAGTGGCGTGCTCTTGGACGTTTGTCCAGGCCGCTGACCTCCGGGAGGGAGGCCCCCATGCGGGTCAGGGTCTCTAGGCGCAGGGAGGCCCCGCAGGACCGGCCCCGTGCCCTGGCCCCCCGCCCCCGGGGACCACCGCAGATGCGGCCCCCAGCCCTGCACCCCACGCCTCGGGGTCCTCCGGTCCTCGAGCCTGAGACGCCTCCCCGCGTGTCTGGACGTCGGGCGGCCCTCAGCGGCTTAGACGCCACAAGAGGGACTCGGGCTCATCCCGCCGCGTATGCTGGCCAGCCTGGCTGGTCCGCCGCCCTCCCTTGACGCAAAGGGCAGAGACGCCCTGGTCAGGAGGGGACGAGGGGTGGTGTCCCTGAGGAAGGGGCCTCACAGGGCTGTCCAGGCCACAGTGCATGGCTCCTCTGGGGCCTGCTGAGGCTGACCCGCTGCCGGCCGCCCTGGGCCTTTCTCAGCTGTGAGGGCACCCACCTGCGGGCTGGCCCCGTGGGGCTGGCACCGAGGTGCCTGCATGAGCGCTGGGGAGGCCCTCAGAGGCTGACCCAGGCCTGCTGGGCTGTTTTTTAAGCCCTTCACACCTGGCAACGCTGTCATCGGCCGGGGGGCCCGAGCCTCCAGGGCCGTCCGAGGCGGTCAGTGCCCCCCGTCCCCGGTACCCACAGAGACGGAGCCGTGCGGCGGAGGCTCCCTGCCCTGCCTGGGTGGGGCTGAAGCAGGGCTGGGGGCGCGGGGGCGTCTCAGACCCCTGGCCACGACGATGGGGGTCTGTGTCCTTGTGGCCTCTGCGTGTTTTCTCTCTGGACCTGCTTTGGCCGTAGGAGCAGGGGTGATGGGGGCTGTAGGTTCAGGGGTGATGGGCGTCGTAGGTTCAGGGGTGACAGGGGCTGTCGTCTGAATTGGGAGCCTGGGCAGGACCAGGCAGCAGCCTGAGCTTGGTCAGAGTCCAGGCCATGAAGCCCAGGCCCAGAGCTGGTCTTGGGGTTGGACCTGGTACTGGGGTCTCCTCACTGCCTCCCAGCCGGCCCCTGACCCCCGATCCTGAACCAGGCTTCTGGTTCTGGGATTTCCACTGGGGGAGTGGCCCGGGACCCCCTGTGAGGCCTGAAGTCAGGCCCTCCCTGCGGGGGTGGCTCCGTCTTTCCTAGAGGATGAGGGCTCTCTGGTGCAGACACTGGCTTCGTATTTAAGACAGAAATTAAACAGGCGCGTGTTCGTGTTGGTGAGTTTTACAGGAAGGCTCAGGTGTTGTGTGTTAGTGAGTGAGTGTAAAACGTGCCCAGGCAGGGAAAGTGACTGCAGACACCCGCGGTCTGAGAGGGTCCTCATCACACACTGCGTGGTGAGTAACTTTAAGATCAAAGCCATTCTTTTCTCAGCACCGCTCCTGAAAAGCAAAGTGTGAGGGGGTGTCCCTCGAAAGAGGCCGCAGAGAAAGGAGCGGCAAGAGGGAGACGAGCCCAGACCCCCAGCAGGCGGGCTAGCTGTGTGGCATCGCGTGACTGCTGCTCAGGCCTGACCCGCGGGCTTCAGGTACCCGATCCTCCTCACTCCGTGTTTCAGGCGGAAAGGACATCCGTCCCCACGAAGCTTGCCAGCCAGGGCCCCCAGCACAGGCTTGCAGACCCCATCTCGAGAGCCGGCGGGCTGGCTGGGCACAGCAGCAGGGCCCCGCTGCCCCTGCAGGCTCCTTGCGGTGCGCCAGGACCCTTCAGCCGGTGCCCTGGAAGCCGTGAGCTGTAGCCAGGGAAAGCCCCCACAGCCACAGAGACCCAGCGCAGCCAAAATAATGAATAAGTAAATAAAAATGAGGAAGTTAACAAAGTCAGCCGTGGATGGGCAGGGTGAAGAGGGCACGGTGTGGTTTCTGGGTGCCCCGCACAGCTGGTGGTGGGTGACTTCCCTCGGGACCCGGGCGTTCCGGCCTGCGGGGGGTCTTCCTTGGGGTTGACTCCCGTGGCGCGTGTGTGTGCCGCGTGCCCGCCGTGTGCCCGGCCCTGCACGGCCCCGGGGGGCGGTGCCGGTGGGCAAGCTGTGCTCGGAGGCCCAGCTGGCCAAGCCTGGCGGGCAGCCCCCCGCCCCGTACCTGCTCTGGGGAGCAGCGTGGACACACCTGCCCCACGGCGTGCCCTGCAGCCTCGGCCGAGTGTGACGCGTCCCCACACGTTTGTGTCACCTGCTGCCTGTTTGAAGACTTATTTTCATTCCAAATCTATTTAAGAAATGAGCCAGGCTTTTCCTTAGGCACTTTTCATCTTTCATCTCTCCATCTTCAGCATCCAGCCCGCTGGTGTGGATGACACGCAAGGTGTTCGGGGTCTGCCGTGATCCGATGGGCTGCTGGACTCGAGAGTTGGACGGGAGCGCGGTCAGGGCTGGAGCGTCCGTTTTGGTCTAGACTCTCCACATACCCATGTACAGCTCTTCTTCCTAGTTGCGAGGCTGACTTTGGGCCTGTGTCATGGAGACTTCAACAGGGTCTTAGGAAAGGGACAAGGCGGTCACCGCCTCGCGGGCGGTGAGGCCCCGTCGTCCCAGCTGGCCGCTGGGAGCACTCTTGGCCTGCCTGTCATCTGGTCACCTGCAGTGACACCCTGGGTTCCCCAAGGGCCCTATCTAAATAAAACATCTTTAAGGTGTTAATTTATTCAAACGTGTCCAAGTAACTTTGAAAAAGTTGACGAAACGGATAGTTTTCTAGCAAAATATACATGAGGACACTGACCCTAGAGAAAAGAGAAAAACGGAACCGGCCAGTCATTTGAGCTGAGAGGTCAGCGGGTTTGTGAGGGCCCGGCCCCAGGAGGCTCTGGCCACAGGTGTCCCAGAGTGGGCCCCGCTGGACGCTCTGGGAGCCCTGCCCGCAGTTCCGTCTGAGCCACCCACAAGGCCCCGGGGCCGCGGAGGCAGCACCAGACCGCGGCGAGATGGCCCCAGGGGGTCAGCAGCGGATCAGGAAGGTCAGACCCAGAAAGGCCTGGCTGGGTAGTCGAGCGTATTAGAGTTAATGGTTTTATTAGGTTACTGTGCTTGTTTTAATTGGAGGATGATCACAGTACTGTGGTGGTTTCTGCCATACATCAACATGATTGGCCACAGGTGTACACGTGTCCCCCGTCCTGAACCCCCTCCCACCTTCCTCCCCACTCCATCCCGCTGGGTCGTCCCAGGGCACTGGCTTTGTGTGCCTGGCTTCATGCATCAAACTTGCACCGGTCGTCTGTTTCACATATGGTGATACACATGTTTCAATGCTGTTCTCTCAAAGCATCCCACCCTCGCCTTCTCCCACAGAGTCCAACAGTCTGTTCTTTACATCTGTCTCTTTTGCTGTCTCGCATGTATAGGGTCATCATGACCATCTTTCTAAATTTCATATATATGTGTTAATATACTGTACTGGTGTTTCTCTTTCTGACTTACTTCACTCTGTATAAGAGGCTCCAGTTTCATCCATCTCATCAGAGTGATTCAGATGTGTTTCTTTTAATGGCTGAGTAATATTCCATGGTGTCTATGTACCACAGCTTTCCTATCCATCCGTCTGCCGGTGGACATCCAGGTTGCTTCCATATCCTAGCTATTGTAAACAGTGCTGCAATGAACACTGGGGTGCACGTGTTTCTTTCAGACCTGGTTTCCTCAGTGTGTATGCCCAGCAGTGGGATTGCGGGGTCTTATGGCAGTTCTATTTCCAGTTTTTTAAGGAATCTCCACACTATTCTCCATAGTGGCTGTACTAGTTTGCATTCCCACCAACAGTGTAAGAAGGTTACCTCTTCTCCACATAGAGTTAATAATTTATCAGTAGGAAATCCCTCACTGGGTCATCTCCTTAGATGCTAAAGCTATATTTGATAAAGTTCAGCATCTCTTGATTAAAAATGATTGCTCTTGATAAAATTGAAACCAGTAGCTGTATCCTTAATATGATTTTAAAACATGGAAGTCAAACATCTCCGCTAGGTTCAGGGATAAGACAAAGATATTTGATGTAAACATGATTATTTGGGGCTTCCCAGGTGGCACTAGTGGTAAAGAGTCTGCCTGCAATGCAGGAGACACAAAAGATGTGGATTTGATCCCTGGGTCAGGAAGATCCCCTGGAGGAGGGAATGGCAGCCCACCCCAGTATTCTTGCCTGGAGAATCCAGTGGACAGAGGAGCCTGGCGGGCTTCAGTCCATGGGCTCCAAAGAGTCGAACATGACTGAACACACGCACACCAACAGACACGGTCCTTCAGTATGTTCGAGAAGCGCCGGCTCGTGTCGTCAGCAGATGAACGAGAGTGCTGCCGCTGACTCACACTGCTGCGGCAGCGGCAGCGTGGACCGTCACTCACAGCTGGAAGCGCTGGAGGGTCTTCCGAAAACCGGCAGTGCACGATAAAAGCTCTTAGCAGTGAGCTTAATGCCTTCTACGCATCCAGACAGGAAGCAGAGGGGATCCTGTGTGTAGCAAGGAATCACACAGGAATGACTTGTCACGTAGGGGCTGACCCCGGGGGCCTCATGCCCTGATGCTGCTCCCGAATGAAGTGTTACGTAGGGGCTGACCCCAGCAGGACTTGGTACCGTGATGCTGACCCCCGTCTCCAGGTAAGCTGGTGCTGGCGTCTCCCCGCTGTCCCATCCTGCCCTGCTAGTCACCGGGTGCCCCCCACTCCCGGGGCATCCACGTGTCGTGTCTGATCTCTCCTAGTTCTCCCTGTTTGTTCATTCGTTCGGCTGTCTTTCAGCATGG